GCCGGCCATCCATAGAAGTGTCACCTACTACTGATAGCTTCGTAACATGGAACGAAGGCACTAGAACTACTTCGTAAATATTCAAGTGGCTGCTAAAATCGAAATCAGCACCAAAAACTACCCTAGAAACAAGTAAAACTCGAAAAAGTGAACCAAGGTCATCAAAAGGTCAATGACCTTGACTTGACCTTCACGTGACCTTGACACCCACCATTATGCATGGCACCAACATCATTTCACATATTTGAACGTTTAAAACCACAAAAAGACTGGAAACCGCGGATAATGTGAGCTGGCATACGCCGAATCGCGATTCCGGCCAAACATGGTCTCGAGAAATATGCCACAGGTCAAAGGTCAGTTGGGTCAGAGTCATGAAATTTTTAAGTTAGATGTAAAATTGATGATCTCGAGGGTACCGAAAGTTTCGGCGCGATCGGCCGCTTTTTGCGCGAGTAATTTGCGGAAAACCATGGGGTTTTATCCGACCCCTTCCCCCTCCCCCTCCTCACAATTGCGATGGTTAATAAGGTTACGGTATGTATAATTTACGCTTGTCATCCTTTTCCTAATGAATGTGTCTCAGAAAATATGCATCATATAAATCACGAAGTAAAATTATTCGCCTATGTCCGGAACATACCTATATCGTGCTGTTTGCACTAGCGCTCCTCGAGTGGGGTGTTAAGATACTCTAATGTGAATATTCCGTGTTCAGGCAAGTTTCGGCAGCCAAACTAGGCGTTGTCTTGTGCAGAAGAAAGTGGCGAATTCGATAGGATATATTTCGGAGTGGAAAAATGTGGAGAACATTGTTGATTTCCTACATTTATTTAGAATACCATTCCTTCAATATGGTGTATGTAAGGGTTTTTTGTAAAGGGCATTTTTGTGACCTTAGTAAGGTTGTGGCATACTTTCTGTTTGCCATTCCATTCCTAATAAAGGTGCCTTTCAGACGATATGCAACTTTAAGACCTCGCAAGATTAAAACCAACAAGACAGGACAATGAAATTGAGCTATACTTTCGGGCCTTGCTGAGCCCATTGAGTAATCACGCATGAGTGTGAACTTTGGGCGCATTTTTCCTAGTTTTGCTGTGGACATACAGATAAAACAATGCCATGTATGAAAAATTCAGACATTTCTTAGCCCTACTGACACAAAAAATAAACAAAAATCCAAAAAATATTTTTTGAATTAATAGGCGCTAGATCGGAAAAATCCCCACTGTGCACTGGGCTCCCTGTGAGTTTTATTACATGCTGTGACGCTGGCCGAGACCGAAAAATTGAGCAGAAGACAACTGTAAGGAGAGGTGGCGGATCCGTTTCCAGACTGGCGGCTCCTATAATATCAGTCACAAGTGAAGCCCAAAACTAGCTAAAGTCTTGCAATTTGGTCAAGTGATGGTCACATATGTTATGGCTTGCGGAGAGCTGGCGTGCCCACATCAGCAATCTGTGTTCCGCTCCTGCATGCAAGCAATGGGTCCTGCTCTGGTAACAGCTGCCGAGTCGCTCTCTCTTCGGCACACGTATAGCTTCAAACGTGTGTTTCAAGACAGCGCGACTATCATTGTAAAGGAAAACGATAACTTTCTTCACATTGCTCGCTGAGGGAGTCACACTGTCGAGAAGCACCTCAAGTTACAACGCTACGACCTGCATTCCTTCAACACATTGATGTGTATAGTTGAGCGATAAACAAACATTGCAATTCATGGAGTCAATATGGACAGTATACCGTCACTCAACACCAGCGATGCGCGAACAGAGCTTCATGAAATAAGAAAGCTTCATGAAAATGAGAAAGGTTGAGCCGCAGGACGTAAACACAATGCAACATTCCTGGGATCAGTTTGTCTATGCAATCAATAACTACGATCCTATTCGTCGATGTGTAAGATACCTACATGGCTGAGAATTTCAGATGTGGATTTACAATTCGAATAGTAACTAAAGGCAAATGTAGCACAAGAACTATAAGAAAGTGCATTCCTAAGTGCGAAGCTCTGCTGCAGTGTCCAGTGAACCGAGATCTCGTGACTCCGTCTAAATCTCGAATCTCGATCGCCATCACCCGCTGCAAAATGCGGCCACCGTCACTGACAACGGTGTTCAAAAGTCCCCTTCTCTCGAGAGGGACAGATGACAGAACCCGTCTGTCCCTATGCTGAGCATGAAATCGGCCTCAGTGGAAGCAGGGAACAGTTGTGGCCCAGCAGGTCACCTCGGACGGTCTCGCTAAAAACGCAGCACCGGCAGCTTTGTTATTTACCCATAGGAATCTTCGTAATTCCGTGGCGCAGATCGTGTGGGCTTTCAAAGCATTGAGCCGGGTGCGTGTCTGATTTAGACAGGCAAATTAATCTGCAGTGTGTCCAATATGTCATCAGACTGTCTCTTGTCAAAAACGACCGATCACGGATTGTTCCTGTCTATTGATGCTTTGAACTTAATACAGTGTGATATACCTGTCTATAAGTGCTTTTATTTATTTATCGTGTTAAAAATCATGCTATAAATCATTTATTAAAATATACATCACATTTAAGAAGTTACTTTCATTTAAATGGGCTTACTAGACCGTCAATACACAATTCCGCGTGCTACGTCGAATTTCCCAGCAGGGCCCTAATAGCAGTCGGCAAAATCCGTGCACAGTCCAGATATATAGTGGTCTATGACAGTACCTAATTATACAAGTGTGTAAAAGATCCCAGTTACCATTCGCTGCGTACCTTTACACGAGTGCCTTGCTTTGGCTGCATTGGGTGCTATGTCGCTGTCAATAAAACAAAGAAGAAAAAACCCTGTAAGTAGGTCGCTTCAATCGTACGTATTACATGTCAGCGTCATGAATACAGTGTCTTTGTTCTGCATCGTATCACAACCAAGAGAAAAATGTTCCTAAACTTCTTGACAAACGTCTTCTTAACCCGCGCCGTGCTGGTGGCCTGAACTTTCCGCCGAGTGCTGGGGGGGGGGGCGTTTTCACGCCCCCCCGTCTAACTCGGCTCCTGGGCCACGTAGCGACACGCGGTAAGCGGCAATCGAAAGAGCGTCAAAAATAAGGACGAAAACACTTCGGTCATTTTTTGGGTCAGGTCAAAGGTCAGGTCACCAGAGGTCACCAAAGGTAAAATGTTGACTATTTCAACATTTTGGAAACTGCCCACGGCTATCTCGGGAACCGATAGAGCTACAGCGCCGCGGAAAAGCGCATTCGATAGCCCTTTTACAGACCTTTCTGAGTAATTTTCTCAGATTTGACCTCAGGTCAACGGTTTAGCCTCCAGAGGGCAAAAACTCCAAAAATAGCCGTTTTTACGAAAAACGTTTTTTCGTCAATAACTTTTGACTCATAAGCGCCATGACATTACTTTTGCCAGCATCGTGTTCCTCTCGTCGAGACGCGTCGAATGAACTATTTGTTGACCTTGAAAGGTCATTTTGAAAATTTGACCTCAGGTCAAGGTCATGACCTGACCGAAAAGGGTCATGTTGCATATCAGTCGATCCGTATCGTCGAGCTGAACACATCTGACGTGTTTTCACCGCTCTAGCACGTCTCTATCAAAAGTTATAGCCAAAAAACTGCTGGCGACCGTTCATGACCTGAGATGACCTCAGGGGCACACAGAGGGGTCACAGGTGCATTTTTCCTATTCAGTGTGTCATGTTTACCTATGAACCGATGTTTGAGAGCGTTTTGAACGATATTCGTCCAAAAGAGGCGCATTTCAATTTTCTCCCATTTACTTATAATGGAGAGGTCGCAAAATTGACCTGACCTTAGGTCACAGATATCAAAAATCCGAGATATACATTTTATACATACTGTTACTCATATCAATCGCTGAAAGTTTCAAAGTGATCGTTCAGTCGGTGTAGCTATAGCGAGCCTTTGAACTTTTTCTGAGGTAAGGTCACTTGACGTGACCTGGTGACCTGACCTTGAACGGCCTAGGTCTGAAATTTTCACAACATGTGCGGAAATGATGTAGGAACACGTGTACCAAAAACAGCGGCGCTGCGCGCCGCCGTTTTTGAGATATTTGCGAAAAACTTGAGGGGGGGCGTAAAAACGCCCCCCCCAGCACGGCGCGGGTTAAGAAAGACCAGTGCGTATCTGAGCTCGAATCGCAACATGACTCATTAGTTATTGTTGAAGCGCAGAATGCATGGAGTTTTATCAGAGCCGTCAAACGCAGTGGTGCATTCATTGGGTTGCATTCATGGTTGAGTATATTCCGTATATCTATACAGAAGATCAGGTCACAGGGTAGATTGTATTGTAACATCCGTTATTTGTAAAATTACTACCGTGGGAAAGCTTCCTATGGCTGTTAAATGTAACCTTGCTTTAGGTCTGTTACCGACTGATTTTGTCATTGTTTCATTGTGTTAGAGACAACGATGTGTTTTGCTCCGCACTTAAGTGGTGGTCCCATTGAAGGAAACAATGCTTCATATTGAAGTGGCACCACGTAAGCCAATGGCACAGTAGCTTTTGCTCGCATTTTTTCATGTTAAGCATGCCGCTTTATGAAGAAAAAAATAAGTAAAAACGAGCATTGGCCACCAAGCACGCCTTTAGTTCGTTCATTACAGCCTAGTTATGCACCTGCTTACGGCTTTTGATACCTTCCCTGGAGCTCGGTGTGAATTAGTGTGAGTTTGATTTAACCTCACCCATAGACCCCTTTAAACAAAGGGGTCTATTTCAACCCCTTTGTATAAAGGGGTCTATGCCTCACCGCGTTAGTGGCTCTCTCACTTTCGTCTATCATACTTTTTCTGTGAGTCGTGGTATGTGACTCGTGATCCGATATGTCCCGTCATCTTCCGTGATATTTGACCCATGATCCGTGAGTGTCCCGTGATCTCTTAATTCGTGATGGCCCCACGATGCCAGTATAGTCTCCATAACCACCTAACTAACCACCTAACTAACTGACTCACAAACTAACCAAAGCTCGACTGTTCTCCGCCAGCTGCTGTTTCCCGACGACCCGGAGTTTCCAGCCTACAAGGAGCACCTCATCACCACCACCCGTCGGCCGGTGAGGGTGCACAATGGGCGACAACAGAAAAAGAACAGAATCAACGGGTAAGTTGGCGCATAAGGATTAAGGAATCAAACAGGGGGTTGTAAGTGGGAATTATTTGACTAATGTATTGATAAAAGCTTGTTGGAAGAGGATGTTTTATTTTAAAATAGGGCAACAATTTTGTAACGCTGAACGCGTGATCACAACTATAGGAAATGTAATAACTGAATAGCCAACTCAGGCATATTGAAGCAATGCTTAGTTCGATATTTTCAAAAATATTTGTATAAGTGAGTGATCGTTACGACAGAGTGGACGTCAAAGCGCTCCCTCAGTTTGTTTATATTGAAGTTACGCAATCAGCTGTACGAGATAACTCTTCCAAATTGAATACCTATTTCACAAATGTCCCACAAACTGATGGAATTCCTCCGTCTTTTCTGATGGAATTCCTTCGTCTTTTCCCAGTATATCGCAGACGGCTCGGTCGTCCCGTTTCCGCCCCGATCCAAACGCCAAGAAGCAGCTTACAGACATCACCTCGTACCGGCAGGCGCGACGGCAGTTCCGGTAAGGCACCCAGCTTCCGGTCCAGCTTCCGGTACACTTCCGGTCGAACTTTGTCTGACTTCCGGTGTGCTCTCAGCGCACTCTGGTGATGGTTGTTTTGTGTCGAAATGGCAGTGTTTGGTGCGCATTTGCGAGTTGCGTGTTGTAAGCTTCCCACGCACTATTCTGTTGGCAATTATTTGAGCAATTTTGTCACTTATTCTTAGGTCAGCTGCGGATAAGTTTTAGATGGCAACAAAAACGATCGCGTTTCACGTAACTATACACTTCATTATAGTTCGCTTCATGCAATCTCGCATGACCGTCGCAGATGCTATGCAAACAATTCGCTTAACGAATCAAGTCGCCTAGCAACATGCGGTTGATTGCAACTCCATAATTCATTCCATAATTCATTCCATAGTTCAATACTCAATGGACTGTCTCACTCGCATGCATCATCCATTGGACCTGTTAAACATTTTCAGGTATGATCACCCATCTTTAGGCATGACCCATGACCATTCATCGTATGACCAATGACCGTATATCTTTCTCTCCATCCTCAGGTATGACCGGCGAGACCCGCAGAGTTTCGACGACACCTCCCTGGTGGGGGTGCTCCCCCCTAGAAGGGGAGGCTCGTCCCGTGCCCCTCCTGCTCCCCGGCCCTCCCTGACAGTGACCAGGGGAGGCATGCCGGTGGTCGAGATGGGACCCGATGTCACCCGACATTGTCCTAGTCCCACCGGGAGGTGAGAGAGAGGGAGGGGGAGAGAGAGAGAGAGAGAGAGAGGGAGGGAGGGAGGGAGGGAGGGAGGGAGAGGGAGGGAGGGAGGGAGAGAGGGAGAGAGGGAGAGAGGGAGAGAGAGGGAGGGAGGGAGGGAGGGAGGGAGAGAGAGAGAGAGAGAGAGAGAGAGAGAGAGAGAGAGAGAGAGAGAGAGAGAGAGAGAGGGAGGGAGGGAGGGAGGGAGAGAGAGGGAGGGAGAGAGAGAGAGAGAGAGAGAGAGAGAGAGAGAGAGAGAGAGAGAGAGAGAGAGAGAGGGAGGAGAAAAAAATGTGTAGAAATGATGCATATAGATGTCAAACTTACGATGCTGCTGTTAGTAAATTTGTGGTCGTCATTAGTGTCAGGAGAGTTAGAAGTGATTTTTCCAATGCGCATGTTTTGGACCACGGCCCGGAAGGCTTCGCTAAGAATACCAGGAAATGTAAATATTGCCGCATTGTTTGATGAAGCCTGGCACCACCATGCCAAATCCACACGTTCGCAACTGGGTAGGCAGTAGCGTAGTTCCACAAAGCATGGTCGCCCATATATTGGCGGAGCCATTTGCAAGTGAAATATTGCGCCGGGCTGCATAATGAATAGGCGGTGAGGTTTTAAAGTGAATCGGATACAGCTGCAGTTGGTAAACTAACCAAGTCTGTGAGTTGTAACTAAACCGGATCAGGATATGTTTCATGTAGTTGGCTTCACCTCTTGAAGCCGGGTGCGCTACGCAAATTTCATTTTGCGCACGAGTAAAGGGATATTCCTGTTTGTTGTATTCTTCAAATATTCATGAATGATGCATAGCATTGATCATAGAATGACCGGCATACAAATGCATACCTCCAGTCAATATTCCTCAAATACCACCCTGACCACATGATGTTTAGCCCTCACATTTCATCCTCACCCCCCCTCTCTCCGTTATAGATTTCCGATAATGCGCCACTGCGACAAGTACCTGGAGTGCGTGTTCAGCTCGGGTTACCTCCGCTCGTGTGCTCCGGGCACCCAGTTCGACTCGGTATCCGCCCAGTGCACCTTCCCCTATAAGGCGCGCTGTGCCGACGACTTTGAACTCTATGATGGTGAGTGGCACAGCGGAAAATAGTTTACGGAAATCATCGCGAATGTTTAGATGTTTAGTATAGTGGTTTTAGTATTGTGATAATAATTATTTGTTAATTTGAAGCCGGCGGAAAGGTATGGGTAGTGATGATGCTTTCTTGCTAGCCTACTGAGGTGGATAGTAATGTTGTCTGGTAGGTATTTGTGTTTTTATTGTAATATTTTGTGTGCTAAGTAATCCTTTGTGCTTGTAAGCTAAGTAACCTTGTTGTATCGCTCCGCGATCCCTCCCCCCCCCCCACACACACTGAGCTGACCTACCTCCCCTGTGTCTGTACCAGGTCCCGACGACCTGGCGGCCGCGGCCTCCACCCTGCCCCCTCTCACCCCGTCCGTTATGGAGACACCCACGGCTCAGCTGCGGGCGGACGGCTCCGTGTCCACCGAGTGTCCCCGGCCGGCCGGCATGTTCGCTATACCCAACAGGTGGGTTTGTGCGGATAGGGGATAGGGGATAGTAGGGGATAAGGGATAGTAGGAATAGGGGATAATGGGGATAATAGGGGACAAGGAATAGTAGGGATAATAGGGGTAGGAGATAGGGATAGTGGGGATAATATGGATAATAGAGATAGGGGATAGTAGGGATAGGAGATAGTGGGGGATAGTTGGGATAGTAGGGATAATAGGGATAGGGGATATTAGGGATAGGGGATATTAGGGATAGGGGATAGTAGGGATAGGGGATAGTAAGGATATAGTAGGGATAGCAGGGATAGGGGATAGTAGCACTTAATTGGTGCACGTCTTGATCTCCCACTGAGCCTGGTTCATCTATAAATCAAGTGCGTCTTGGTCTGTAACGGATGGGCTGGAATCTGTTCAATGGGTTTGGTGAAGCTCGAATGGGTGATCTCGTATTTGTAAAGGTGTCGAGCCTGTGCATGACACAAATTACAAGTGATAAGATGCTTGTCGCGTCATATAAAATTCGAACTGCTTGCATTTGCACTAGCATATGAAGCTCAGGCTCGCGTCTTGACATTGATAAACGCTAACCTTGTTCCAAGTGGCTCTAAAGTAACCTTTCTTCCGTACGAACGGAAGTTTCTGTCATCTGCCTCTAGAACCGCTGCACTGAACCACCTCGTCCACCCCCCTCTCACCCCCCCCCCTGCCCCCCTACAGGTGTGACGCGTTCCTGAACTGCTGGGCCGGCGTGGGCCACGTCCAGCAGTGTGCGCCCGGAACCCTGTTCAACTGTCACACCGAGAAGTGTGACTTTCCTCACAACGTGCGCTGCGTTCAGCCAGATAGTAAGTTGAACAGGCGGACAGTTAGTGGGGGGAGGAGGGGGGAGTCGGGAGGGGGGAGGATGGGAGTCGGCAGGGGAATAGTATTCATTGTTACTTGTTAGTTATGCTAGTGATGTAGTGATAAAATGCACAGGCAAGCTATGAAGGCGAACACAACGAAAGTTTGGCAATTTTTTGTCCTTTCACTGTTTCAGCCTTCAGAAGGCACTACTGAAGACAGTACTGAAACAGTAATGCTTGACGGTTAATTGGTTTAAGTGTCCTTCATAGCTGGACGATATTTTAACACACAACTGTCTAGCTAATTGCTTATTTGTTTTGTATGACTGACTTGGCTTACATCTATGTTCAAGGTCCCTTTCGCTAGTATGTTACTGTGTTAAAACGACCAAACGAACAGCCTGTTCTTGAGGAGGAAGGTTGAGCATATCTATTGACGAGGAAGGATGCTCTAGCTAATTCGTAATCGCCGTCTAATCATGTGCAGCCGGACTAACCATTTTTGCGGCAAATTGTCGCCAACTTCTAGCGGTAAATGTCACCTTTAAAGGTCATTCCAGGTATTGTGCGTTGAGTAATAGTGACATGTATATTCGGTAAGCATATTTGACTTATCGGATCACCCATTTCCGACCAATGTGCTCAAAAACTTGCACTGGAAGTCGGTCGAGTCATGAAACAAGAATGATGACTCGGTTCTACACTCATCGCATTGCTTCTGGAATCTGCTCCAGATCGCGTGCCCTGCGACACTGGACAGTCCAAATTCTGAGTCACTAGCCGAGTACCCAGTTTCGAATCTCGGTTTCCGTTTTTCCACGACGCAAACACGCGGCTTTGTGAACTTGAGCAGGCGTCCGCTGTTAGGGCCGTATCTGACGAATTCCGAGCGATTCCGGCACTGTATTCGAGAAACACGCAATGGGCGGGCGGCTGACGTCATCACTATGACGTCACTGGTGAAGATGGTACGTCATTGGATACAACTGGAGGTCGTGTGCGGTGTCATTGTGCTGGATGGAAACCAGACCTGATAGTTGACGGCGCTGTATTTAGGCCCTGGATAAAGTATACCAAATCGCTGCGAAGAAAATGTTATGCCCGACGTTGTTTCCCTGAAAACTGGCGTCTGACGACACACGCAATCCAAATACGTATTTACCGATTAAGTGTAGTGCAGGTTCTTTTCACTATCAAATTACAACTCCCGTTCTTCAGAGAAAGTCTTGCAATGTGCCGGCTTTCTCGGAGTGAAAGTCGGCACATTGTGTCGGCACACTTTCAATGTGTCGTACAATTTTTAGAATATATTGACAACGACGTTTTCCCGTTGTTTTCTTCTGTTTCCAGAGCCCCAGGCGCCGATGATCGACGTATCGCAGTTCGCTCGGAACGGGGTGCAGGCCCGGTCCCGGTTCGGCTCAGTGATGGCGCCTCCGTCCGGGCAGAGGCTCAGAGTGCGGGGAGGACGATCACTGTCCCAGGTAGGTGTCTCAGGCAGGAGTGCAGAGCCGGAGCCGGAGCTGGAGCCCGAGCCGTGAAACAATATAGCCTGGAGCCGGAGCCGGAGCCGTGAAACAATATAGCCCGGAGCCGGAGCCGGAGCCGTGAAACAATATAGCCCGGAGCCGGACCCGGAGCCGTCAGAAATTTCCACGGCTCCGCATCCCTGGTCTCAGGGGTCTCAGGGTATATAAAATATTGCTACATACTCGTAAGTGACTACGTCACCGTGCCTATAAATGTACTGCCTTTACTGGTTATAAGGCGATGTATGGGTTTAAACGGCCGTATGGGTGTGTGAAGTGTGTGATGCTTGTTGAGAGAATGGAGGGATAGGATAGGCTCCAGGGGTAACTATCCATCTCACAGTAACTATCTCACGGTAACTATCCATCTCAGATGGATATGGCAAAATCCATCTCACTGCCGAAGGTCTTGATACTCCTGATGGTTAAAAGCTTGTCTGTTTTTTTTTTTTACACTTTGGCTTTTGGGGTCATTCAAACCTTGATTCAAACATCCTCTCACAGTGCTGTAGACGACGTTCTTTGACATCAATCGCTCGTCAGAGTCCCGTCTAACTATGAGCGTTCAGCCGCATGTTTTCCTTCATTTGAAGCCTCTTTCCGGTTTGAAATCTGCCATGTCCCTTATTGTCTTCCTGATCAGTTGTCAGTTTCCTTCCGTTCCCAGAGTTTAATAGAAAATGTGTCGTGGTGACATCTTCCCTATCAAACGGGAATTGCCCGATCACTGCCTTGGTGACACGTTTTCACTTATATTTCATTCATTTGAGATAGCGGCCTGTGAAAGCATATAACCTGCTATAGTACAACCTGCTATAACCTGCAATAGAAACCTGCTATATAATCTGCTATAGCGTACTATAGTACATAACCTGTCTGTTTCTGCTTCCTGTTTTGACAACAAGCGCGTGCTCGTGTACCACCAGGGTCACGTGCAGATGTACCACGAGGGCCAATGGAACCATGTGTGTGAGGACGAGTTTACACGACATATGGCCGATACGTCTGCTGGGACATGGGCTTCAAACGGTACGTAATTAATAGAAATGAATTGGAAGTTTTCATAGATGGGTGATTGGGGATTTGTTACTTTTTACTTTATTCTCAGTGGCTAATATATGACATTCGTGTAGTGTACCCGATCGTACAGATAAATGCACATTTAAGTTAATGCACGGAAAGCTTCCATTGACGGTCGTTCTATATTTGAATGAATGATTATAATCTAACTGCTAATTATACAAATTGCGTAAATATGTCTAGCACAAATTTAGTTCAAGTATGTGATCTTATGTGTGATAAAAAAGC